GAACTCCATTCATTTTCCCATTGCTTCTGTAACTTAGTGTTTGGCCATGCCAGGTATGTATAGCCAGGAGCTTGCTTTCTGTGATAAAGTGAAGGAGAAGCTGCAAAGTCCGGATAATTATCAGGAGTTCTTGAGGTGCCTTCATCTCTATAGCAACGAAGTGATAACAAGACCACAATTACAATCCTTGGTATGGCTCAAAGAAATATCTTGTTTTGTTTAATTTACTAATTTTTTCATCAGCTTGCATTAAAAGTTAATATAATTTGTCAACTGTGAGAATTCATGGAATGGGCAAACTTTCAGAGGTTGAACTTTTTGACCTCTTATAATTCACACAGTTTTGACATAATATTATAATGTCTGATTTTGCAAGTCTAGCATCAACAACCCTAACTGTATTTTAGTGTCCTTGAGAATTCAGAGGTATTCATTATGACTGCTCATTCGATACACTAATTGGAATATGTTGTGAACTTTTGCTTGTCTTAGGTGAGTGGTTTGTTGGAAAAATATCCGGATCTCATGGATGGGTTCAATGAATTTTTGGTGCGATGTGAGAAGAATGGTACTTGTTTATGACAAATGTTTCAAGTTTATTGATCCACTTCTGAATTGTCATATTGAATCCAATTGAATTCTGTTTTGCAGAGGGATTGCTCGCCAGTTTTGTGAGTCAAAGTAAGTAGGACTATCTCTTTCCTTCTTGGCATTAGGTTATGTATACCTTCTAGCTAATCATAAAATCACAACTGTTATGTGTGCATACTTAATATCATCTGCAGATGCATAAATACAAAATTTTAACTAAACATGTTTAATTCAAGGGTCTCATGAGTCATGAAACTGTTGTGCTTGCAGAGTCCTTGTGGAATGAAGGGTATTTACCAAGTTCAGTGAAGGCAGAGGATAGGGATAGAGATCGAGACCGTGAAAAGCATGATGGTGTAAAAGATAGAGACCGGGAAAGGGATAGGCTTGATAGAGGTCCTTTTGGAAATAAAGATATAGGAAGTCCCAGGATGTCTTTGTTTGCTAGCAAGGCAAAACCCATTAGTGAACTTGACCTCTCTAATTGTGAACGATGTACTCCAAGTTATCGGCTTCTCCCAAAGAATGTAGGCTTTTTTTTTTTTTTGCTTCTCTTTCACTGTTGTCATTATGCTTTGCATTGGTGCTCGTTATTTTCTAATTGTATGTTCTGTAATTTCAGTATCCAATACCTACAGCAAGCCAGAGAACAGAGCTTGGTGCTGAAGTGCTCAATGATCATTGGGTGTCTGTCACTTCAGGAAGTGAGGATTACTCCTTTAAACACATGCGTAAGAACCAGTATGAAGAAAGCCTGTTTCGATGTGAAGATGACAGGTTAGAACTTGCCTGAGTTCTTACCTTTATTTATATTATGCCCTCATTTTAGTCTCAATGTTTTACATGAATTAAGATTAAGGTGATTGTGTAGTTCAAGTTTTAGCTTATTTTCATGCACTTGCCTCCCTACTTGGGGATATGGTATCCTTGTTTGCAGACTTTATTCTTGATTTAGTAGGACAGTGGGATATATATTTGTGAAATTGATAACTTAATTACATTGGTCATGAAAATTACTGATATGTTGATTTAATTTTGTAGGTTTGAGCTCGACATGTTGTTGGAATCTGTGAATGTAACAACCAAGCGAGTGGAAGAACTTTTGGAAAAGATGAACAATGCAGACAGTCCAATTCATATGGAGGGCCACTTAACAGGTTATAAGCAAGTAATACTGAGTTTATCATTCTCATCCGTGCTTTTCTTTTTACCTGATCTTCTTTGGTCTACCATCATCTGTCATCACAGCTCTGAATCTAAGGTGCATTGAGCGTCTATATGGTGACCATGGACTTGATGTAATGGATGTATTAAGAAAGAATGCTCCTCTAGCTTTGCCAGTTATATTAACGCGCTTGAAGCAGAAACAAGAAGAGTGGGCAAGGTGTCGAGCTGATTTTAATAAAGTTTGGGCTGAAATTTATTCCAAGAACTACCATAAGTCACTTGATCATCGTAGCTTCTATTTCAAGCAGCAAGACTCGAAGAACTTGAGCACAAAAGGTATCTACAGCTTGAAAACTGAGTATATTGGTATCTTTCATGATAAAAACTCATCATGGATCCAATGTCCATGCATTACTACCATGATATGTTTAATAATCCTATGAAAGTTACCATAAATATTAAATCAGATAGCTCTCTGCTATCATAATAATCAAAGTGCAGTCTCGAAAAATTTTCATTCTTCTTCTTAATCCATTCTACTTCTCACTCCAAGGGGAAACTGCACTGATCTTTATGTGTAATACTGCTCTCATGTGGTTTATCTAGCTGTTTGGACTATCCAACAGGAAGCAGTTACTTGGATAAATATTTCAAAGATACAAAATGGCTTTCCTTATCCCAGCAATTACATAAATTTTGATACTTGTTATAAACCTCCAGTTGTCCTGAATCTTAAGTTCTCATGGTCCATCTTCAATATTGCAGCCTTATTGGCAGAGATAAAAGAAATCAGTGAGAAGAAGCGAAAGGAAGATGATGTACTTCTTGCTATTGCAGCTGGAAACAGACGGCCTATTATTCCAAATTTGGAGTTTGATTACGCTGATCCTGAAATTCATGAAGATATGTATCAGCTCATCAAATATTCTTGTGGAGAAATGTGTACAACTGAACAGTTGGATAAAGTAATGAAAATATGGACTACCTTTGTAGAACCTATGCTTGGTGTTCCTTCTCGACCTCAAGGTGCAGAGGACACCGAAGATGTTGTGAAGACTAAGAACAAAAGTGATTCTTCCACCTTTAGTGAGAGCGAGGGAAGCCCTGGTGGTGGTGGTGGTGCTACTGTTGTGAATTTCAGACAGTCAAATCCTTGCAAAAATGGACATGAAAGTAGCCAACCTGAGCAATCAAGTTCTAGCCGGTCTTGGATGCCGAATAGAGATAATGGGATCAAAGAAGATGGCTCTGTTGATGTAGATCATATTGCTCATAAAACCAATATCTCACCTGACGCTCCTCAACAAGATAAAATTCAGGTTAATGCAGCTACAGTTGATGGAATCTCAGGGTCCAGCAAACAAGCCAGTTCTAGTGAACAATTAATCAATCCTAGTGCATCCCTTGCAGCTGGATTGGAGCAAAGCAATGGAAGAACTAGCGTAGAAAGTGCTTCAGGTTTGGTGGATAATTTCAACTAATGTCTATTAATTCACACAAATTTCTGTTACACATATTACATCACTCGTTATTTCATGTTTATTTCTTTGTTCTTAAATCATAGCCAGATTAATGAGTTATATTTTCTGTTTCAAGGTCTTAGTGCTACACCTTCAAGACAATGCAATGTTCCTGTTGAGGGCGGGCTTGAGCTGAAGTCAAGTAATGAAAATTTGCCTGTATTGGAGGTACATCCTAAATTCATTCCTCAATCGGTATTAATTCATTGTTGAGTTAGGAAGAAGAGCATGTATTTCTTTTTGTGGGTTTTTCTATTCATTTCACTGATATCTGGTTGCTCATAAGACTAGTATGATATTGGATAAGAGACAATAAGCACGAAAAGTTTGCCTTAAGTTTGGCGTTTAAAAAAATATTGATCATTTGATTAGACTGATCTTTGAAGTCTTTGTATCCCTTGATAGTCATACATCTCCATCACTGAGTTAGTAAAGGCAAACTTACTTTGTGACATAAACCATGAAACTTATTTCTCCATCACTTACTTAGTAGAGGCAAACTTACTTTGTGATATAAACCATGAAACTTATTTTTAAACCAAAATTGTTTTGACTGGCAAAAAAACCAAAGGTATATGGGTAAGTTTTCTCACTTACCAACACCAAAGTTCAATTTACCTCATATTTCTCTCTCATTTCTGTTTCTCATCCTTGACCTGTGTTTTAGGTGCCAAGCAGCTGGATTTGAAATTATAACAAAAAGTTTTTTTGTGTGCTACAGGGTGGTGATTGTTCTAGACTAATTACATCCTCAAATGGGATAATGACAGAAAGTGCCAAAAGTCACAAATGTAATGAAGAACCTGCTGGACAATTTAAGGTCGAGAGGGAGGAAGGTGAATTGTCTCCAAATGGAGATTTTGAGGAAGATAACTTTGCAGTTTATGGAGACACTGGTCTGGACAATGTACCCAGCGTGAAGAGTGGTCCTCTAAACAGGCAATATCAAAATCAAGGGGAAGAAATATGTGGTGTAGGGGCTGGGGGTGGAAATGGCGCTGGTGAAGACGGTGAAGAAAGTGCTCAGAGGTCATCAGAGGATAGTGAGAATGCCTCTGAGAATGGTGAGGTTTCTGGGAGCGAGTCTGGTGATGGTGATGATTGCTCAAGGGAAGAGCAAGAGGAGGATATAGACCATGGTGAGAATGAAAACAAGGCTGAGAGTGAAGGTGAGGCTGAAGGGATGGCCGATGCAAATGATGTTGAAGGAGATGGAACCTTGTTACCCTTTTCCGAACGCTTCCTGCAAACTGTAAAGCCCGTTACAAAGCATGTCCCTCAAGCATTATATGACAGAAAAAGGGTTTCTGAGATTTTTTATGGAAATGATTCGTTTTATGTGCTTTTTAGGCTTCACCAAGTAAGGATCCTCATTTAAATAACCTTTAAGGGTTTTTGCTGTGTTCTTTTGATCAACTTAATATCCCCCTTTTTATCAGACATTATATGAGAGAATTCAATCAGCAAAGATCAATTCATCATCCTTGGATAAAAAATGGAGGGCCTCAAATGATCCAAGCCCCACTGATCTGTATGCCAGGTAACTTTAAAGTGATCAGTGTATGTTTAATGCATTTATGTTGTTGAACTTATGTTGGGGCTGTGGTGATGTAAGTGATTAGTGCATGTTTAATGCTCTTTTATGTGGTATAGGTTCATGAGTGCACTTTACAATTTACTTGATGGCTCTTCTGATAATACAAAGTTTGAGGATGACTGCCGAGCTATAATTGGAACTCAGTCATATCTTCTATTCACGCTGGATAAGCTAATATATAAACTTGTCAAACAAGTAAGAATGATGGTTTCTTGTTTGTTTCTCTCTTCTTCTTCTTCTTCTTGTTTTTTTTATGTTTTATCTCAACTGTGTGAATTTGCTTGTGGTCTTGGCCATAGCTTCAAGCTGTTGCAATTGATGAGATGGATAGCAAGCTTCTCCAACTCTATGCATATGAGAAATCTAGAAAGCCTGAAAGATTTGTTGATGTTGTTTATCATGAAAATGCACGAGTTCTCCTTCATGATGAGAATATATATCGTATTGAATGTGTAAGTCTGTTTGTTGTCTTTCTTTCCTTTTATTCTTCTTTGACGCTGCACTTATGTTATTATGGTGAATAATGTCTGTGGAAAATGCTTGCATTAACTCCATTTATTATTTCATTTCTGACCAGTCATCCACACGAACGCATCTCAATATTCAGCTTATGGACTACGGGCATGATAAGCCTGAAGTGACAGCTGTTTCCATGGACCCTAATTTTGCAGCTTACCTGCAAAATGACTTCCTTTCAGTTGTTCCTGAGGAAAAAGAGAACACTGGGATTTTCCTGAAGAGGTAAATGGACAATAGGCAATGCTGTTTTTTTATTACTGTTATTATTTATTATTATTCCAAGGAGTTCTAATACTTTATTATAATGGGTGATGTGTACAGGAATAAACGCAGGCACAGCAGCGGTGATGAATTTAACTCTCTAAGTCAAGCCATGGAAGGACTTAAAGTGGTCAATGGTTTGGAGTGCAAGATTGCTTGCAATTCATCCAAGGTTTATTATATTGGAAATTCATTTCTGGTCATTTTGATGGATCTTAGTTTAAAAATATTTCTACTAAATCTTTTGAAAATTTATGTATTGTATTGTAGGTCTCTTACGTATTAGATACTGAAGATTTTTTATTCAGAGGAAGGCAAAGAAGAGCTTTGCACCAAAGCAGCTCATGCCAACCTAAAGTTTCAAATGGCTGTTCAGTTAGACTACAACGAGTACAGCGATTTCAAAGTTTGGTTGCTGGCACATAATTAAACCTTTCTTGATTCTTATACGGTATGACCCACTCATTTTGTTAGTATACCAACCCTCGCTTGAAAGTTATGTTACATTGCAATCTCATATGTTTGATGGATGGTATATGATAAATTCACAAATTGCTATTTGAATCTTAAGTTAATATTTCCTTTTTCTCCAATTAAATAGTCCAAGGGTAATATTTCTTGATTCTGTTTTTGTTTTTCTTTATTACATCAGAATGTTAGCTACAGGTTTGAATTGCTAACCTTGATTTCAAACTAAGGTTTTTAAATTAATAAATACCAATTTAACAAAACTCTTGTTGGTAATATTTCTTGATTCTTTTTTCTCAACTTTTTTGCTTCAGGTTTCTTTATTCTCCCATCAGCGGGAATTAGATGCAGAGTTTTCTGGGATGAGAGGGTCTACACTCCACAGCGCTGGAAATTGAAAAGCTTTTTCAAAAATTGTCTTCCAAGTATTATCATATTTGTCTCACTCACCAACCAAATAAAGAATGTGAAGGAAAAGAAAGCGGGAAAGATTGAAAGGCCGGAAAGGTCATGGAATATGGCAAGTTCGTGGCTTTCTAACCACATTTCTGTACATAGAGGTAGTTTGTGCTAAAAGGGTTCTCATTTTTTAGATTGTGGAAGAGGACAGGACAGAAAAGAGCGTTCATGGCGGGAGGAGAGAGGGTTTAGATTGTCATTTCAGAATTTCAGTTACAGACAATATAAAAAAAAAATTCAAAATATTTACTGAGATTCTCTTTTTTTACTAATTTATTAATATGATATTTTAGCGTAGTTTATTTGTGGTTAAATGTCAATTTTTGTTTATCAACGTTAGGGTTTCATATAGTTTTTCTCTTAATTTTTTTTTTTTTTGTCTTTTGATTATGAAAAATAAACTTTTAAAATTTTTTTGGTCAGTTAGTTTGACTGTATATATTTTTTTAATCTTAAATTTTTAGGTTAAGAAATTAAAAATGTGTATATATTATAAGTTAAAAAATTAAAAATTTATATATATTTAAATAAATTTAATAAATTAACTGGTTGAATAAATAAAATATGTATTTTTTATAATTAAGGGATAAAAAAGTATAAAAAAATTGAGTGGTAAAAATTATGTAAAATTTCGAAGTTAAAAAATAAAATTCATATTTAATCTTTATTTGTTAAATAAAAACATTCGTCTCAAGCAGTAGATTTTTGCTTGTGCTAAAAAATTTCATTTTCATAAACAAACTTGTTTTCATTTAAAAAAACGTGTTTGTGCTAAGTCAAAATTATACCAAGCAAATTTTTTTTAGGATATTATCAAAGATAGCTCAACCTTTGTAATAATATATATATATATAATAAATCAAAGTAGTCTATGTATGAACTTTTCCAAAAAGGCATGGCTTATTCATTCGGTAGTTTGTTTTGTC